GGGGGGGTGTTTCAGCACAAAGAGTGTGAAAGTTTGTAGAGATAGCCATGCTTGGGTGCAGCATGATTTTTACCAGACTTTGTCCAGCAATTAGGATCAGAATATCTAGCATGCGTATAAAGCAGACTGTTTCTGTAAGGGGGGTAAAAAAGACACAGCGCAGTTGATGTTTTATATTACGTGGTGAGATAATAAAAATTTCACTTCCTTTATCCAGAATTCCACCCAGTTGGAGCAACAATGACTTCCCATGTAAAAATCCGGAAGGAGAGGGTTGGTTTGGTGGACTACGACACACAAATCAAAGGTAAAATAATAACTTTTTATTAGCATCACTCTAATAACTCTCTCTCTCTCTCTTATCACAGCCCACCTCGACTGTGATCAACATGTGTTCTCTTTGTGCAAAAAAAAAGTTTCTCACCTACAGCAAGACTTTCAGAATGAGTCATATTCTCTTATGTGTTTGTTACTCCCCTTCTTTCTTTCTTTCTTTCTTTCTTTCTTTCCAGAGGTGCGGTGCCAGCTTGTAGACCAGCTGAAGGTGTTGGACTTGCAACTTGAGCAAAAGAGCCAGCAGCTGCAGGACCTGACAGACTACCTGAGACGACGGAGCGAGATTGAAAGCGAATATGCTCGTTCCCTTGAAAAACTCTCTGAACGGTTCACTTCCAGGATCAAGAGGTAAAAGCAATCCTGTCTTTGACGGTGCACATAATAACTAACTAGCAGTTCATTTGAGGCAACTGTTGTGAAATACTCCTGAGTGTATCTTACAGAGTTTTTTTTTTTTTTTGTCTCTGTCTTTCTTTCCACCTTGACCAATGCTCAGGAAGGAGCCCAGTAGTCACTCAGTGGCCCAGGTCTGGCTGGCTCTGCTGTCCCAGACCCGCCAAGAAAGTAGGGACCACAATAGACTGAGTGAGAGCTGCAGCAACCTCCTCATCCAGCCCCTCACACACTGCCTGGAGTACACACAACGCCTTGCCAAGAAGGTATGAGCACTGGCACCCAAACACAAGCATAGTCTTTCATTGCGCATTTGGGACTGCAGTCTGTATAGTACAATTTACCTGACTGTAGCAATGCTGCCATTTTCCTTTTCTGACTCGTACTCATGTATTTCCTCTGAACTCTTGACATTAAAAAACACATTTTGTGGTGCACTGTGTTCTTTAAGTGTTGTGCCATCTCACTGTGGTATTTTGTCTTTCTAGAGTAAAGACATCTGCACTCAGCTGCAAGATGGGCTACTCAAGGTTACCACAGAGCTGCAGACTGTAAGTAAGAAACCAACCACCCAAAACATTTTCCATTTCCTATACAAACAAAGTAAAGCATGGCTATGTGTGTCTGTGTGCAGGCATGGCGGACATACTACCAGTACCACTCAGAGTACATGTGTGCAGAGGGGAAGCTTAAGGAGGCAGAGAAACAGGAAGAAAAGCAGAAACAGAGTGCTGCTAAGAAACTCGAGCGGTTAATAGAAAAAGTAAATAATTATTCCTTTTTATGTAGTATTATGTGCATACATGTGTGTCTATTTCACCTCTTATTATTGATTGTTTTATGTGTCACAGAGACAATCTAAGGTCCAAGAAATCTACCTGAAGTGCAGCAAAGCCCGAAATGATTACCTGCTAAACTTGGCTGCCGCCAATGCCTCCATGAATAAGTACTACCTCCAAGACATCTCTGCTCTCATAGATGTGAGTGCATCAGTTCACACCGCTGTGTGTCCGCTGTCTTTTCCCTTGAACAGAAAAAAAACTCCATGTATCACTCAAAGGTTATGGAGTCAATTTTAAAGTTCCAGCCAATGAACACACATTTAAACACTGGAACATAATAATATTATAATATTAGACCTATAGTGCCAGAGATGTCACTTAAAATATCATGTTTTAAGGAAGTCATCATCTGAAAGCAACCACATTAAATTGGTGATTATTATAATTTTCATTGTTTCCTCAGTGTGCAGATGCAGGGTACCACCTCTCTTTGGGCCGGGTGATGCAGGCCTACCTGTCCAGTCGGTGGCAGACTCAGGAGAACCTGAGCACAGGGCTGCAGCAGCTCGAAGGCACCGTGTCTGGACTGGATCAGAGCCACGACAGAGACACCCTCCTGCAGGACCACTATAACACCTTCTCAATGCCCCTTCGCTTCCCCTATCAGCCCCATGATGGAGACCAGGTCTGTATTCTGTGTGTTTATCTGTGTATTCAATGTATTCAGCTGTTTTGCGTTAACTCAATATTCTCTTGTTTGCCAGGTTTCTGAGGTCAGCGCAGAGTGTGAGATGAGAGGTGATCTGGAGACCAGATACAAACAAATACAAACAAGACTGAAGGCAGTCACCCACGAAACAGAGGAGGTGGGGTACATCACACAATCTTTAGCACCTCATTATCACTTTTTTTGTGGGTCTACTGTATTCACTGGTGTAACCAATCACATCTTTCAGGGAAGACTCATTCAAGGCCGTAAATACAATTATTTTCTTGTTTTCTTAACCATATTTTAGTAGGTAGGAAGCATCCTATGGTCAAGTAAAGAGAGCTTGTAAGCATGTGAGGAAAAAACAACAAAGTATTCAAATCATTTTGTGTGACTTTCTTTATAGAATTGGCATTTGGCCAATAGCGTACCTTCAGGTCGGTAAATGTCAGGAATGATCTTGAGTCACTACACCAAGTCAAGATTGAGCATGTCCATAACATTTTTAACCCTTTGTTTGTGTTATTAATGTCGTCAAATTGTAATACTGGCCTCTCCAACATTTACTTGAATGCAACATAATTATTTATTATATTTTCACTTCACCTCATACTCTCATACTGTGTTTTGCACACTGTCACCATGTTAATTTGACTGTAGGTAACTGGAATGATTATAATTAAATGCAGCATTCCCAAAGCGTAGTATTCAGTTGTTTCTCTGCCTCTGTCATGCAGACCAGTAAGAGCATGTTGGCAGCTCAGTCTTCCCTGCTGGAGGGTATTGGTGATGATGATCTGGACCCCAGCAGTGGTTTGTCTCAGGATGGCAGCACTGAGAACCTGACCGTGAAGCCCAGTGTGGCCCGACGCAGGGCCAACCTGCAGGAAATAGAAAACCTCTACTTCACTGTGAGTCTGTTTTTTTTTAATGTGATAAACCAGACTAGCAAGAAACTGTTTATTTAGGAAGGGTTGAATTTAATAAAAGTTGTGAATATGTGTTTTTTTTTTTGGTTGACAAAGACTATGGCCATGGCCAGAACCACAGTGACCGCATGATAATGACTTTAAATCACACCTGCTTTGTTTTACAGAGAGTAAAAGAATACCTTGTAGGAAGTTCCCTGGTATCTAAACTGCAAGCCAAACATGACCTGCTTAAAGTAGCTGTGGAAAAAGGTATCACTTCTGCATTTCTCACAGAACTATACCAAAAAGCAAACTGCTGACCCAAAGTGTCATTTGATAACTGTGCATTGTGGGGTATTATTTCACAGTTAACTGTTGTTCCTTTTTTTTTCTCCCTCAACCACCCGCAATAATTAAATCTTTATTCTAACTGTATTTCTCATTTCTTCTTACTGGCTGGTTCTCATTTAAGCTGGTTCTTTTTTTTTTTTTCTTTCTCTCTCTTGTGCTTTTGTTCCTTTTTAGCAGAAGCATCAAATGGACATCAACCTAGGTACACATATAATTGTTTAAAGAGTTCTCATAGAGTCATCGTGTTCTTGGTTTAATTGCGAACAATGTTGAAACTTCTTTACATTATGGTTTCTGGCTCTGCAGACACAATGGAAAGTCTGTGCGCATCAGGAAGAATCACTCAAGTGCCAATTTGATGCACAACCACAAACTTTTCAATGGGGACATGCTGTCCTTCATACAGGTAGCTCCCACCACAATTACAAAAATACCACCACTTCCCCTTTCAGCATGTCTCTTTCTTGATGATCCGTTTTTTTTTTTGTTTTTTTTCCAGTGTATCCAATAAGTGATTGTTGTATGGTATTAGACTTCTTTGTGTGTGAATTTTTGTGAAATGTATCACTACACTTTCATTCAGGCATCAGGACAACAGATTCCAGATGTTGTAGAAAGTTGCATTCGCTTTATCAACCTCAACGGTGAGTATTCAAGACTGAGGGGAACTGTAAAACAGCAGCTGCACATTTGTATATTAAAGACATTTACATTTTTTTAAAATTCTGTCCATCAGGTCTCCACCATGAAGGGATATTCAGAGTGCCAGGGTCTCAGATGGAGGTCAACAACCTGAGGGATGCATTTGAGCGAGGTAGGCATGTGTGTTTCTGTGTAATGTGTGCGTGTGTTGCATGACCCAAATGTATCCTCATCCAGTGGCTCCCCTTACTGTGGAGCATTAATAATGTGGGGCAGTGTGCTGTGGGCTTCCCCTACAGGAGAGGACCCCCTGGCTGAGCGGACATGTGACCTGGATTCTGTCGCTGGAGTGCTGAAGCTCTACTTTAGATGTCTGGAGAATCCCCTCTTCCCCATTGACAGCACCTGCCAACTCCTGGAACAAACCCGTAAGTGTGTGTGTGTGTGTGTTGAAATGCCAAATGAGTGTGGCTGCGAGTGTACAGCAGGAGCTCTTATCTTTCTTTATTACCTTTTTTCAGAAATAAAGAATGAGGCAGAGAGAGCAGCTCAGCTCAAAATGATCATCTCTTCCTATCCCGAGCCCATCATCGTTGTCATGAGATACCTCTTTGCCTTCCTTCATCAGTGAGTATTTAGTGGGCTGTAGGGGGTACCCAGCAAAAGGAGGAATAAATATTTTAAACTTTTATCACTTTAAATTTTTTTTATTTTATTTATAGTGATGACTTTAAAAAAAAAAAAAAAGTAATCTAAGAACCCAATAATTTACTCAGAGGAGATTCCTTAAGACAGAATCTTTTCTAATTGTGGTCTGTGTTCAAATGTGGATCTATTGTGCTGCTGGACATGAAAAGGTTTGGGAATCCAGATTCAGTATGTAGCATTTAGGAGGATCTATTTTTAGAAATGGAATATAATATTCATAGATATGTTTTCATTAGTGTATTGTCACTGGAATATAGGAATTGTTTTGTTTTTTGTTAGCTTAGAATGAGCCTTTTATATCTACCGACACTGCAGATTGCCTTTCATGGAATCCGTCATGTTTCTACAGTTGCCTGGGGCTGAAAAACCAAACACTACAACACCACTAGATAGGGGTGCTTTAGTACAACCATAGTTTCTCTTTCACGCTTGGAAGGCGAGGGTGAAGCGACGCGCTTGCAATGATGAGAATGTGTATCTACACAATTAGAATTGAACAATCATTCACAGGAGGAAACCAAAATGTTTCCTTCTAGAAAGGGGAAGCACCACATTTATTTTTTTTTGTCTTATTAGATCTAGTGAAGTATAATGTATCAGGGTTTTTTTTTTTTCGCATTGTCAACTACTGACTTCACACAAAAGATCTATACATGTTGCAATAAAACTGAAGCAAACCAAACTAGGGTAAGGGGTGAAAATATTTGAATATAGTTTCAGTTTCAGCTTCAGCTTTGTTTCACTACTTGCCTCTCAACTTTCCATATTTAAGAAACTCTCTACTTCATTATATAATTTTGTGTTTCTCTGCCTCCAGTGTGTCTCAGTACAGTGACGAGAACATGATGCAGCCTTACAACCTGGCTGTCTGTTTTGGCCCCAGCCTGGTAAGAGGGGCTCATGATGATGATGTTGTCACCCTGCAGCCTCAGATCAATGCCCTGGTGAAAAACATCATCCTCCAGCACGAGAGCATCTTCCCCAGCCAGAGCGAAGTACAAGGTCCGGTGTATGAGAAATGCATGACACTGGAACAGGATGACTGGTAAAACAAAAAACTGAGAAAACATGTTCATACACAACACATAGACACAACATGGATATAGTGTATGGTGCAATGATTATGTGTATCTTCACAGTGAGCCTATGATTGAAGAAGGAGATGTAGAAGCAGATTACAACAATAGCAAAGATGGTAAGTTTATGTGGTTGCCTTAATTGATCACTCCTGTAAGGCCGAGATGGTGTCTCTGAATAGAGTAAAAGGATATATCAGAATGTGATGTGCTTACAGAGTTGGAAACAGGACACTCTGCTGACAACACCAGCTCGTCTGCAGCACCAACACAGAAAGGAACAGACCGTCCTAGAGCATACAGCAGCGGTGCAATCGACCAAAGTAGGTCGACAGGTGGTCCAGCAGGGGGCGGCGTCACTTCAAGTGGGAAGTTAATGCTCCAGATTCCCATGGGGCCACAGTGCAGGCCACGGCGGGTCCACTCTCCTGGCTATGTGCGCAGAGAGTGAGTACCACTGAATGCTGCAGTGTTATAACTGATTTGTTATGTTTGTGTGAGAAACTAATCTTTTTTCTGCATACAGACTTCAGGAACACTCATCTTCTGAGGATATTACCAATCAAGTAGACAAGGTCTGTCTTGTTTCTCATTTGGTTTTAAATTACTGGAATAAGTCTATTATTGAAGGGGTTGTCAGTTGTAACTAATGGTTTTAATGAGTTAGTTAATCCTTCTCAACAGCTTGCTCTAAAGAAATAAATAAATCATCTGCAATAATAAATGTTAAGTCAGAACAATCGGTCAAGTCTGCAGTTGTAAATGTTGCAATTTAACAACATAAAAAGATTTTGGTCCAGATGTTCTGAGCTAAAAAGATAAATCAAGTTTTGTAATGAAGGAGGACACTAGCAAAAGATTTTCACAACCTGGCAACCCCAGCGTTGTTAATGGCTTATAATTAATCCATAAAGCATTAGTTAATCTATTCACATTCATTATGTTATTAGTTATAACTTACAAACCCTATTAGGACTGTCTTATTAGAAAGTGGCACTAAATTATTAATGATTTAATGACGATCGTACATTATGGCTTTTCTGTCAAACATAATCTGATGCTCTTGAGCAGAAGGGAGTGCAGAGAACAAAGAGCGTTTTGTCTTCTTCCTCTCTCATATCACTACTGTTTATTTCATCTCACAGGAGGTCTGTCGCCAGATGGACTCGGTCTTTAAGGAGCTCGTCTTGCGGCAAGGGGTGCAGGATCCCTCCTCCACCGCCTCCTCTCCCTCTGCCGAAGCTCCCCAGAAGAAAGGGAAGCGGGATGTACGGAGAGGGAAAGGAGCCGGGCTCTTCAAAGCAGCAGATCCACTGGACTGAGAGGACTGGCATCAGTAGATGACATGGAGAGAGGGAGAGGGGGAGAGAGAGAGAGCAAGATAATACAAATGAATACTGAGTTGTGGGGTGATGTTCTCTGACAGTAGCTTTCAGCACATCTATTTCTAGAAAACTGAGATCACTGAACCATAGTCACTTCTCTGAGGTCCCTGCTGCACTGGGCTTCTTTCCACACGGTGGCTCCCTACTCAGAAACCATTTCATTCATGTTCTGTACAGTAGAACCCTGCTGTGACTGCAGACCTGCAGTACAATGTGCAAACTGTGGATTACTTGAAATGCACAGATATGTCTGTGCAGCTGAATGTGGTTATGCAACTATCTGCATCTGTGTAGGTGTTTATAATAAACTGTTTCCAGTTTAAGACACATTTTCTAAGTGTTTTTTAGTCAGTACACACACACACACCTCTACATACAAGCAACACATTATTCATCAGAACATCTGTTCATGAGATTGAGTCACATGATTGATAAAATAACTGTGAATTTGTAGCTGTATGGAATTTGTATATATTAATTATTTGTAATTTGGTTTACACTATATGATTTGTCTGTATATCTAGGCTACATGTCAAATAAATATTTTGTCTATTCTGACTGCTTTTTTTTCTTAAGATATCAGGGCTGGGAATGTGGCATGTGTTTATAGCATTTATTTTACTTCAAGCCTTGGTTATTGTAATATATTATTATATAATTTTGTATTTAAATATTTCTTGTTTATGATTTCCATTTAGAGAAATAAACTGAAGGTGTTTTAGATATGCCTTTTATATTAGTGTAACAGAATTATGAAATGAGTGAAACCCCAAACTGTATCATTAAAAAAGCAAAAAGAAAAGGACTGTGAAGAACATTAAAAAAACAAAGCCAGTGTAAGCCAGTGTGCACAATACCAGGGCCTTGCTTTGAACTGGTACACGGAACTGAACAGAAAGCAGCTATTAGTTACTGTCATTAATAACACTTGTGCTTTTGCTGACATGTCATAATGTCTTTAAAAGGGACTATTGGTGGCGTTGACAGACTCTCAGTCGGTAACTACACATTAACATGAAACCTTTGAGAAAAAAAAATTAAATTGTACAAATATTTATAATTATAATAATTACTTGTAAGAAAAACAATGGTGATGCACAAAGAAAATACCAGAAGGAAGAGAAAGAAAAAAATAAAAACATTAAGTAAACCCTCGTGTTTGAATGCTTTTGCACGGCTTGAGGTAGAAATTGTTTGTATATATATATTCTTGGTAGGATTATAGCAAGATTAAAGGCTTTCTTAAACTCACATATATACATGTGTGATTTGCCTGTAATATATTATGTTAGATAGTAGATAGATACTTTATTTTAGTATCAGTACCAAGATTAGCTTTTCATGTAATCAATCAAGACCAAACAGTCTTTATGAATAGTGAAGTCTTTAGTATTTGTGTATACAGATCATTTACTTAATAACATTAATTAAAGTAAAAAAGTAAAAATACTTTTTTCACTTTTATATTATTATATAGGTTTAGGTTTATACACATCATTTATAATAAGCATTTAATGTTTTAGCTGGTTTAGCTGGTGAGTTAATTAGAATTATTTTATGCATTTTCGGGCAGTGTGTCATATTTTATAAAATTATATTTTTCAATGCAAAATAAATTGTATGGCTGTCAGATCAATGTAGTGGAGTAAAAAGTACAATATTTTGCTTTAATATAGGATGGAGTCGAACTATAAAGCAGCATAAAATGGAAATAGCCTGACGTTAGGCTACAAGTACCTTAACATTGTTCTAAAGTAGCTGCAGTAGGCCTACTTTAGTAAATGTACTTATTCCACGAGTAGAGATCTAAAACACTGTACCATACAGCATCTATATATAATATATCATAATAATATAATAATATATCACATTTAAATATATTTAGCAAATCAGACGTGGTACAACTTATAATAATAATATCTTAAAATGATTAAAACCTAAAGCACATTTACTACATTTCAATAAATCAAATGACTATCCAATATTTTGATTCAGATGACGTGTCGACTGAGCACCTTCCCACAATGCTTCGCGGCGACACGGTCCACGTCATGCAGGCGCATGCGCATGCGCAGAGGCGTCGCAGCGGTGAGCTGAGGTGGACTTCCCTTTACTCAGTGTGACAGCAGCAGTGCAGCAGCAGGACCTCAAGAACGACTCCTAACCTCCCAGAAAACCTCCCAGAAAACCTCCCAGACGACACGATGATCCGGATAGCCGCCTTCCTCGCTCTGCTGGTGGTCGCCTGCTCGGGTGAGTCAGCGGGGGAGGTCGGTGGGGGAGATTTATCGGGGTTAATTAGCCTGTGATGCTAACCAGCCTTAGTTAGTAGATCTGCCTTCTAGCTGGTCTTCTAAGTTAGGGGTGATATTAAGGCTTCATGGCACCTGTATTCATTGTTAACGCCGTGCAGTCGACGCATTGGTGTCCGACATAAGAGCTATAACCTCAGCTGTGCTCTGTGACTACAGGAGAGAGCTGCACAGACCCGGCCATCACTCCGTCGGCCTACACCACCTCCGACGCCGTCATCTCCTCTGAGTCTGTCTTCATCGTTGAACTGAGTCTGGCCTGTGCCAACGGAGCACAGGTAACAGTGCTACCTCCAGCACTTCAAACACACAGGCTGGTTGTATTGATGTTATTGAGCGACTGACTGTGTGGTGATCATTGTTTGTCCTCCTCAGAGTGTGACTCTGTATGCTGATGTCAATGGAAGACAGTTCCCTGTGACCAGAGGCCAGGATGTTGGCAAGTACCAGGTATGGTAGTGTACTGTATGTGTATGTGTACTGATTTAAAGCATTTACTCTCATTGTATTGGGTGTGTTAATGGTTGCTATTAGAAAGGCTAAAATGGATGATTACAAAAGCTCTGACCTAACAAAATCTAATTCACCATTTATTCTTTATTAATTAAGTACATCAAGAAACTTCACTTACATACTTTCATAGAACCTATAAAATGTTTTGCAAGAGTTTAAAATAAATTATTATTGGCTCATAATTCATCGACTATAATTTCATTATAGGAATGATACATGATAAATATAAATATATAACACAACACCTGAAACACGCAACTATACCTTTCTGACATATATGTTGGGGGAAATTCAAAAATTGACGATCTGACAAGCCTACCACTTCAGACAGACAGTGACCAGTGTGGAGATGTGAATTCAGAGTTTGACCTTCTCTCTTTGATTCTGCACACGACTTCTTCTGTCACATTTTGACTGAATGACTGGAACACGTTGTGCACTGTTAGAACAGGTCCTCACATTTAAGCCCTTTCTATTGTCTTCGAGGGCTATTCAGAAAAGCTATAAACACTTTTCCCTTCTGTTTGTACAAACTTAATCATTTTTTAGCATACAGCCTTAATCTATTACTGCACTTCCTTATTATTGTGTTCATGTTTTTTTCTTACTAGTTAATTACTTTAAAACAGGTTTATTTGGCATTTTAATCCTGTTCAGCACTGGTTCTGGATGGTTGGTTGCTTTAAATGTGCTATATAAATAAATTTCACGTTGACCTTGAGCTCAGCAGCCAATACAGAGAGGTGTGAAAGCTTTTAATTTAGATACTTCTACAAAAACCTACCTTTTAACAACATGCAACTTCTTTCCTCAGGTGTCCTGGAGTCTTCCTCACAAACAGGCCAGCTCTGGAACATATCAGGTCAAATTCTTTGATGAGGAGTCCTACAGTGCTCTGCGCAAGGTTAGTGTTTGATGCAAAGATGATCATAGATTACCAGTGAGCTCCACTTATTGCGCAATGTGCTGTCTTTTTAAGAAAAGGCTGTTTTAATCTAAATTATATGTGTAAATCTTCTTTGTTCCAGGCCCAGAGAAACAATGAAGATGTAAATGCCATTGAGCCTCTCTTCTCTGTCAACATTGACCACAGGGTGAGTCTATTACAGGCATGACTTGTGTATGAAAGGTGTCACTTGAAGTGATTAAAAACAAAGAGAATTATTAGCCCACTCTGCAGTTGCCCTCAGCTTTAGGGAGCTTTATAGCATATTTCAACTCATTGTTTCATTTTACTGTTTTAAGCTGCTGTTTGCAGCAAAAAAGCACTAAAAACCAACTGTACGCCACCTACCCACCTCTGAACAGAAGTTAATGAGCCGCTGGTGGTGCATTTAACAGATATTTGCCTCAGGATACAGGGGAGACCAAAAGCAGAACTAAAGGAGAGTGATTACTGGACTTTTATTCACTAAGGGAACATAAACACGACTCCCAATAAATGGTAATGTTGCTCTGTATCTGCTGGACGTCGTGTAAATAGCCAACTTAAAAGGTGATAATATGTCAGTGCTGTTTTTATTGTTTTTTTTTTTCCACTGCCAAGAGGCCAAAAAAGGTTAGGTTAGTGTATTATTCCTCAAGTCTAAAGAACATATTAAACATATAATGAAATCATTTATTAGACATAATCCAATTAGAATAAGCATTTTTCATATTGTTTCAATATTAGATAAGTAGTTCTTGTAGGATTCCTCAGTACAATGTTACTACCGTAATTAATTTTATTGTACAGAAAAGGTAGGACAGTCCATTAATAATGTTATACTTTAAGAATGACTCTGATTGGTCATTGTGTACTTTGTGATATCACCCCGTGTTGCTTCAGGCTCAGAGTTTTCCTAGAGCCAGGTGAAACTGGAATGTGTAGTTGGTCATAATGCGTTTACTCTTCTCCCTTTGTAAACCTGCAACAAGTCTTTTTTTATTTATTTTTTTTAAACTAATCTCTCTCAACAGGGTGCGTGGAACGGCCCATGGGTGTCTACTGAGGTGGTGGCTGCACTCATTGGTATTCTGTTCTACTACATGGCCTTCAGTGCTAAGAGCACCATTCAAGCATAAACACATTCACAATCACTATTTAACCACTGGATCAAAAAAAGACTGAATTCTGGTGGCACTCGACCAACGATCCATCATCCAGTGTGTTGGCAAGCCAATAGGATTTTGCCACATGGTCTGTTTTGGGACGAGGAGCAAGAGTAGCAGTCTTTGTATTTCTTTATTCAGACTGTGTCTGTATGCCATCAGTCTTATCTTATCAATTTACAGATGAATTTCGTTGCGAGTTTGTCTTGTCAATATGGATGGAATTTTGTAATCTTTTGATAAACCAAACAATAAACCTGGACCACTTAAATAAAAAAAACAACAAAAACAAAAACAAATCAGATCATGTATTGTGTTCAGTCCTGCTTCAAAGATGTTGCTACATCCAGATCGGATTATCATTTTTCCCTCTGTGTGGATGGTTGGAATGGAACTTACAGATGTGCTGAACCCCAACTGAGAGAAGTCAAGACCTCTGTGCATATGAAATGTCAATAATGTGACCTGCACTGACTGGCCTGAACAGGCCTAGTGTATTTGTCTCTTCCAGTAAAATGAATAAATGGCTTGTTTTTCTCCCAGTGTTTTGTGTTGGTTCATGTGATAGTCCAGTGACAGACCGCCTCTTCTATAAATTCCTTTTTCTCCAAGACAGACTGGAAGGTCTGTGGTTTCTTGTTC